GCTTCAGCCTTCAGGCAGAAAATGCTTCAAGGATAGGGAACACCCCACCATCAAGCAGCGCTGTGTGGTTTGCGGAACGGAGTTTGATCCAAGGAGCCCAGTTTCATGCGTCCAACAGAGAGGTGCAACTGCTAGAAGAAGACAATGGCGCAAGGAGCCGCCGCAAATGGTCCGCACTGAAAATGCGGAAAGGATAGTGAAGGGCCGCGTGGACCATCAAGGAACGTGGATTGATCCAAGGAACAGAGTTTGATCCAACGGACAGGGTTTGAACCAATGAACACACTTTGATCTGAGGAAAATGCTGGAAGGTCAGTGAAGGCTGCACCATCAAGGAGGTGCAGTTTGATCCAAGGAACAGAGTTTAAACCAAGGAACAGAGTTTAAACTAAACCAAGGAACAGAGTTTAAACCAAGGAACAGAGTTTAAACTAAACCAAGGAACAGAGTTTGGATCCGTAAAGGGAAGCGCGGCCAACCGTCCAGGAGCACAGTTTGATCAGATATCAACTTAGAGAACCGGATGGACGATGTTGCAAGGTGAGGTGAGGTGAGGTGAGGTAGGTGGGTTGGAGAGCACCCCCATGAAGGCCGTGTCAATTTGCTGATCTGGCATTTCGTCGTCTGCGAGAATGAGCGTCGACTGTCTTCCTTTCGTGCGGCCTTTTCACAGACTAAGTATAGACATGAAGTTCAATGCATCTGGTCGGTTACATGAAGGTCAATGAACGTGGTCAGTGGGGTTGATGGCAATAGGTTGGATTGCTGAAGCTACCAAGTCCATGTGGCTCGAGTGATACGCACACGTAACTGCTAATGAACAGATCACGACTTCATATCCCGATGGAAACAGACAGAAACTGAAAAAGAGAGTGAGGCAGTGCACGTGCGCTTACACGTGAGATATGTAGAGAGAGAGAGAGAGAGAGAGAGAGAGAGAGAGAGAGAGAGAGAGAGATGATGAAGCTGACGAGTTCATGTAGGCAAATTTATCTGGTCACTTTTTACGGAGTTGTCCCCGCGGGATGGTGTTCGATTCAGGGTACCAAAAAAAAAAAAAAAAAAACAGCTTCTGCACGTGCAGTTGGCAGGTTAGGCATGGTTTCAGGATTGCATGCTGGCAGCCATGCAGGGAAAGGGGGGTAAAAGTTGGAGAGAGGGGGGGGGGAGATCATTGAGCTCTCCGGTTATCATAGTGATGGACCTAGGTGGCCTTTTCAAAACGGAATGCATAAACAAGGCTGATGTGTGAAGCTCTCTCTCTCTCTCTCTCTCTCTCTCTCTCTGTGTGTGTGTGTGTGTGTGTGTGTGTGTGGCCCTTTCACAGGTGGAGCCCTTGTATTTAGTGGGCACTGTTCCCTCTGGAAGCAGTTGCCCCCTTCCTCCCACCTTCCTCCCCCCTTCTTCTCCCTTCTCCCCTTTTGAGTTGTGTCAGAGATCGCCTCACAGGTCAGGATCGGACAGAATGAGTTTTCTGCATCTTACAGAATGAGTCTGTGTTCTGTTCGCCCAACTGTTTCCACTCTTCCCGCCCCCCGCCGCTCTTTTCTGATCGAGGTTAGTGATTCCACACTCTGCTGTCATGCGCGTGTATACACAGCGTCAAGAGTAGATGGGTGTGTGTGTGTGGAAATTGCCCAGCGCGTGTGGCTGAATGTTGTGCACGTGTGACTGTTAGTCAACAGGTCGCCAGTTCGAGAGAGTACCTTAATAGAACGCCCGGTCATTATAGCTGTATTTAGTGTAAATAAGTCTCTGTCCAGCCACAGCGTTAATAACCAGGCAGGCTTTCTATTTGGGTGAAAGACAATAGTTAAGTCATTCAGGTCTGTTTTCCCGCTGTTGGTCTTTGACGGAGCTACAGAGCTCAACTTCATCCCATTGTGTGTGATTGGTAGGTGTCTGGTAGGTGGCTCGAATTATGTCCTTCTGGGTATAAGTAAGATCCATGATCTCTCCCCGATGACAAGAAGACAGATTTTTCCGAAAAAAAAAAAAAAAAGAAGAAGAAGAAGAAGAAAGATATTCTCAAAAAAAAAAAAAAAAAGTTAGGTGACTGGTAGGTGGCTTGAATTATGTCCTTCTGGATATTAGTAATATCAATGATCTCTCCCCGATGACAAGAAGACTTTCCAAAAAAAAAAAAGTAAAAAAAAGTAAAAGAAGAAGAAAGATATTTAAAAAAAAAAAAAAAAAAAAGTTAAGAGCAGTGACTGAGTGAAGTCGATTTTCCCCCCTGTTGTTGTTCTGTGGCGGAGGTACTGAGCTCAACGTCACGCCACCGTGCGTGTTTGATCGGTGTCTGGAAGCGTGTGCCGACGGATATGAGTAAGAATTGGTGAAGATATGGCGAAGAGAAGATTAGCGTCATCATCAAGATTGGAGTAATAATGATTGATACTAATTTTTTTATGGAGTCGGCGGTTGGGGGCATTCGTACTCTCGAGTCGGAGCAGAGGTGGTATAAGAAGAAAGAACGAAGATCATTGCCATGACCCCTGTGTACGTAAGGGTGACACGCACAAGTTGAGGTACGGGTTCGAACTGCCGGTGGCCGTTTTTTTTTTGTCCTTTGAATAGCGTCCGACGTCCGCTCTTCCGATCGCCTTGCCCCGATGTCTTCACACACAAATGGAGATTAACGGTTGACCTGCCGGGTGCCGGTTTTTGTCGTTCGAACTTCGAAGAGCTTGCGCTCTTGCGACCGCCTCGCCGCTGAAGTCTTTGAGGCGGAAAGTGTCGGGACGTACACGTACCGCCAGCACGTGCCGTGTATGATGTAAGGGTGGCACAAAAATTGAGTTGAGGTAATGGTTCGAACCGCCGGTTGTCGGTTTTTGTCGTTTGAATAGCTTCAGCTCTTCCGATCACCTCGCCCCCACGTCTTCACGCACAAATTGAGATAACGGTTCGACCCGCTGGATGCCGGTTTCTGTCGTTTGAAGAGCTTCCACTCTTCTGACCGTCTCCTCGCCGCTGAAGTCTTCGAGGGGCAAAGTGGCTGGAACTGCATGCCTCCAGCACGTGCCGCGATCGTTTACGTGTTCGGAATGCCGCACCTGCAGGGCGAGGTAACCTGCTGGGCGATGGTAGCTTCCCTCTGCTACAATCAATGCACGTCTGGTGTGCAAGAATGTGGTCCAGAATGCCAACTAGGTTCGTTA